GAAGTGAAGGGCTCTCAGGTGAAGAGGACTCTGGGGGTCCTGCAGGTGGCTCAGTCTCGGTGCCTGCGTGTTGCAGCAGGGACACAAGGAAAAGTTTCAGGACACCGGCCCTCCAGGACTGGAGTGTGACGCCCTGGTTTAAATTAATTTGCCACTTTAGAAGGTCAGAAACTAGAGTAACACGAATGATCTGACTCTACATGCATTCAAACAAAACAACTTCCTCTCATGTGTTACTGTTAGGAAAGTTGGTCCAGCACTTTGATTTACTTGTAAGGAAGCAAAAGCTTACACAGTGAACGTCTCTGGGAGTGCTCGCCGGGGCAATAACGCAGGTTTCATTTATACACGTCTTCCAAGTTATCCTGATATGTGTGTGATGCTTGTAACCAGTATGTAATAAAATATATAAACAATGGGCAAATCAGAAGACTTCAGGAACGACAGGAGCCGCAGTGAACGGAGGAAGGCAGCTAGCTTAGCTGGCATGGGCGTCGACAGGTTTGCTCACAAAGTTCTTGTTGACATGAAAGTGAAGATTTTGTTTTACGTTACATAACATGGAGCGCGCAATGCTGACATCACAGCACGACATCACTCATACATGATGACAGCTTCTTGTATCTGTGTGCAACTCTCCACTATCAACACAACAACAAAAAAAATGCTTCTATTGCACTTCTATTGTGCTTCTATTGAGAAATACAGATGATTTATTTACCGATAGAGCTTTTGTTATTGCTCTCTCTCTCTCAGGTGTCAGGCAGGGTCCTTTGGAGCCGGCAGCTCTTCAGGAAGGTTGAAGCTCCGATGTTGATCCCGAAGAAGAAGCTTGACTTCCTGAAGGTGCACACTCTGACTTTACCCCATCAGTCACATGATCTCTGTGATGAGCGCGTCCTCGGTGACGCCGCCTGTCTGTGTCTGTCTCAGGGACCAAAGATGACTAAAGTCATCTGGAGCTACAACCAGCTGGCTGTGGTGTTGCTGCAGTACGAGGTGCTGCACCTGCAGGGGTGGAGTCAGGCTGCAGAGAGCACTCCACGCTGCCTGAGCGCCGCCCTGCTGGTCCGACGTGAAGACAGCAAGGTTTGTGACGACTGAATGAAAGCAGCTTTTAAAGGTCGTGTGTGGGTTTAACTTTTTAATCATCTTTTTCAGATTTGAACAAATTGTTTTTACACATTTCAGTCATGTGACTGACAGTCCAGAGCCGACTGCTTTTGTTTCTGCAGACAGTGAACTAACACCACACACTCCACTTTCCTTTGGATCCTGGATCCTTAAATTTGCTGTTAGATTTTAGATTTTATTGAACATTTGAAAGAGCCTCATTGTTTCAGGAGGTCTTGGTGAACCTGGACCTGCTGTAGGTGCTGCAGGAAGCTCAGTGGATGACCAAACTGGGCGTGAGCGTGCTCAAGGTCATCCAGAAGATGACCTCCAGGGAATCAGAGCTCAGAGATTTGTACAGCCGGTGAGACAGCTGTTCACTCCAGATGTGTGGCGAGGGCAAAGCTTCCAGCTGTGAATGTCTTTTCTTTGGTTGTTGTTCTGATTTACTTTGTTTGTGTGTTCACTAGGGCTGCCACAAACGATTATTTTGATAGTCGACT